GTAGGCCTCCAAGCCATTTGAATCCTTCACCTGCTTGATCAAGGAGAGGGGTCGGTGACGTAGGAGAGAGGCCAGCAAGGCATATAAGAAGCTGCCTCGTTTGCGCTCTTCATCGCTCTGCAGCTCCGTGGTGATCTCCCTGTCCATGTTCGATCTGAGCTCCTTGATGTCCTCGATGTAGTCCGCATCCATTGAAGACAAATATTGCTCCAAGCTCCATGAGAAGTCCCTCCACTGAGTAATTTCTTCCTCCCTTGACTTCGGCTCGAAGGAGGGAGGCCGTGGAAGGATGCGAAACCAGCTTCTGTCCTCCGGCTTCTTTGACACTGCATCTGCTGCAGCCTCGGCTGCCTCAACTGCCTGTACCATCCTCCGGGCAATCTCGGCTCCATCGACCAAGCCTCCTGCTCCACTACCAGTGGGAGATCCCGGTAGTGGAGATGCATCCAAACCAGCCATGACCGCTCGATCTCACCCTCCTTATCTTCAAAAGCGGTGATCTTCAGGTGGCTGTAGGGATTACGGGCAAAGAAGGAAAAACTTGTACTCCTTGGTGAACTCTTGCGCTGGTTGGATCTCTGCCCAACACTAGCCAGGCACCTAATGGCTTCCGCACGTGCGCGCGGCCGGGCCACCAACCAGGGGATTGGGTCACGTCCCCAAAGGTTCCTGGAGCCTCAAGCAAGAGCTATGCAATTGCTATCCTCGGCTCCGCTACCATGCGGATCCTTTTGCCAAGCTTAAATGGCGGCCTTCATGTAACACCTTTGGTGTACAACTTCTGTGTGCATGGATGAGTGCTTATCATGTCATTTCGCACTTTTCCTTTCTCTCGCTTACCTTTGTCACCTTTACCTTGCCTTTGCCACCAATGTCACCCTTCTCTCGGCTGCCTGACCCGTAGGGCCTTTGCGCTTGGATCCGGTTTCGAAGTTCTTCACGGGCGAGCTTTGCCGCTTCAGCACCTTCAGTGCCTTTGCTTAAACCCGAGGACTCAGCACTGACTAATTCCAGTTGTCTTGCAACTGTCCAATGTCTACTAACCATGGATCTGCTGTTCCAGGGCTTTGACCCTCTGGGCCAGCAAATCTAGCGCGCGTGCTGGGTGTCCACGTAGTAGCAAATCGGCTCCCTGACACAATGTAAGGAGCTCTTGGCTCATCGAAGGTGAACACAGCTGCTGCATCTCCGACCTGAAATACCTGGAAAAGATCGGAGGTAGGGCCTTGCGGTCCTGGGAGTACAGCGTGCCGCTCTGAGTGAGCAAGCTCTCCTTCATGTTCATGACCGTCTGTGTGGTCAAGCTGCCTGGATATCTCTGGGTCAATCTCAGCGCTTTCCTCCGCTCCTCAAACAACCCTTCACCATACTCCTCCAGGTCAGACTCACTGCTCATCGAGGAGTCGCTACCATCTTCACTCGAAGACTGCTTCTTCTTCTTCGAGTCCTTGCCCCCGAAACGCTTGGCACGTTTCAGGAGCTTGCTGCGAACCTCCACGTCCGGATCCAGGCAGGTGTTGCTGTAGAGCGCGGACAACGGCTTCTGCCCGCGCTCCAACTGCTCACTCTCGCCGTCCTCATCTTCTTCTTTTCTGCCGCCATGTCCCTTTCCTGTCTTCTTTTCTTTTCCTCTTGACTTCTTCTTTTTCTTTTTCTCTTTTTTCTTCTTTGTCTCACTGGCCTCACTGGGAGAAGGTTTCTCCCTTACCGCTCCTGCCTGCCGCTCCTCATGCAATGCTCTCAACCTGGCCAACTCGTCAACCTCTCCAACTTGCTTGGGACGCTCCTCCAACAATGTGTGCCATGGAAGCTTCTGATCACCCACAATCCAGTAACCAGAAGCGTGAAGGATGTCCTCTCCCGTCGGTTGCCAGCTGCAATCCGCCTGGCAGATGTGGAGTTGCATTGTCCGCTTCATCGGATCCGACAGCAGCTCCACAAGCCTCTCGGTTTGCGTGCCTGTAACACGAAATTCGAGAAAGTCTTCATCCCGTCCAAGGCCCATAATGAACCCTGAAACCTTCACATGCCCTTCGTAATAGTGAGCATCCCCCAGTTCGATCAGGCCAAGGCCCCGCAACTGCACGGCGGCCAACTCTTTCAAATAGTGGAACTGGGTCACGGGCAACTCTGACTCCTGGCTGGCAGGCTTCTTCTTTGGCGCAGGAGCACGACTGGCCGGTCTCTTCTTCACTCTCATCGCCATTGCCTGTCACGCAGCTCCTGCTTCGCACGCCTCGTAATCCCTTTGTTTTTCCCCCACAAACCACCTTGGATGGTTGCTGTAGGGAATGGGGCCTACCCAACCTCTCTTCGGGGCTGGTGGAGGATTGGGTGGAGGCGATGGCGGAGGCGGCAGCCTTGGAGGCGATGGCGGGGGAGGCGGACCTGGCGGTGTATGCGGGCTTCTCGGCCTGGGGGGTGTCAGAGGTCTGCACTTCCTCTCTTTGCGCTTTGACTCTCTGACTCGAGGCCCGGTCACCGATGAACTCCCGCTTGAAGTCAGATGTTTCCTCTTCCGCTTCTTCTTCTCCTTCTCCTTTTCTTTTCGCCTCCCTCTTTTGCTCTTCTCTTCACGTGAACTGGGAGAGTCACTGCTGCTCTCCCTTTCCTTCTTTTTCTTTTCACTCTTCACCGACTTGGCCGCGGTAGCCTCTTCACCCTGGTCCTTCTGGGGTGACTCCTTCTTCGATGGTCCAGCTTTGGACTTGCTGGCGAGCCGCAAGGGTTTGGGCCCTCCTTCTGAGCCCTTCTCGGTGACACTCTTGGTGGGCTTTGGCGGCTGAGCTTGGGTGTGTCTTGGGACTTGGGAGTTTTCCACCAATGCAACACTCCCTTTGGCCTTGGCTGGGGTGAGTATAGGTGGTGCTTTTGGGGGAGGCAAAACACGTGCGGCAACTGTGGTTTCACCTCTGCTTGATGACGATGGTCGGCTGGCTTCACTGGGCTTGGGCTTTGGTCCTTCTTTCGGGCTGGGCGGATGGGCAGGACTTGTCTTCTTCTGAGGGCTCTCTACAACCTTTCTCTTCAACGGTTCTTCCTGAGCAGCGGTCGCAACACCTGACGACCTGGGAGCACCACTGTCGCTCCCTTTCAATGCCGACTCACGCTGGATCTGCTTCGCCTCCTTGACCGCTTCCTCCAACCAATCAAAGGCCCGGTCAAGAAAGGCCAACGCCAGGTGCTCACCTGCTGCCGGGAAAACCTGATTGATTGTAGTGCCCAGCTGGTATGACCTCCGACACACCAGGCACAGAGAGGTACTCTTCTCTCTCACCGGGTATTTCTCGCACCGATTGCAAAGTCTGGGAGGCTCTTCGCCTCCCATCCAACCTTTCGAGCCCCGATGCTACGGAGGAAATGAACCTGTCCTGAGTTTATTTATGGGGACTTTGCACCATACGCTGAGGCCGCTGAGGTTCATCACACGTTCACAAGCCAAGATAACATTCCCTTTGACAAGCCGTGTCTTCTATCTTGTTCAATGCATCCCGATGTGAGTTTCGGACATCTGCATTACGCTGAAATAATCTAACATTGTATACTACCTTGCGCGCAACCATCGATGACAAGTGAGACACGGATGAGCGTGTTGCCCAACCTCTGCTTGGGACAACAAAAAGAAGACCCTAAGAAACATGCACAACACTGCTGCAGAGGAATCCAGGACTCAAGCTTCCTTCCAGCTCCGGTATATTGGAGGCTGGCAAGTAAGAGAAGAGCATCATTCGATGCATGAGGAAAACATCCTACAATGGCACCCTGCGGCCTGCGGAAAACCTCGGCCACTGAAAATTGGGTTTGGTGGCATTCCACTCACCAGGGAAAGGTGCACAGTGCTCACACCCCGACAGATGTTGTAACGCAATTCTGACAGCTTGTGCATTAGTATACAGAGCAGGTCCCAAGTAATATGCTCGAGACAATTGCTACAGTACACTTCTGATCTAAACTACTCCCCAGTTCGCCCAACCCGCACAACGCAAACAGAGACTTCAATGAATGTATTAAAAATGCAGTAACTGAAGTGACTGGTTCAACACAGCTGCAAGCACATCAAGCTGAAGTAGGGCTTCCCGCGTCAAACAGCTTCAATGGTTTACACAACTTGCTTGTGCCTCCCACTTTATCGGGTGCACCCGTGACATCAGGATGACTGAGAACAGTAGGGGAAGAAGCCTAATACGCGCAAAGTCAGGCAGCATCTTGATAAGCAAGAATCGAGCGAAAGAGAATGCAACATCAAGAAAAAGAAGCAGCATGTGGCATGCGGCATGTGGCTTTGACACGAGCCCCAAAGCACCTAGCCACGAGTCGGCAAGCAAGATTTGCAGGTGTGAAAGGTTTAGAACCACAGCAGGACATGACAATGCAAGATTTGGACTTGGGGTAACAAACGGAGAGTGAAATTTGTTGGAACATCCACTGTACAAAGGAATAATCTGCAGGGCTTCAACTGCCAAACCAACCTCCAAACTCAATAGATAATGTCCGATGCACAAGTGTACTGAGACCCCAATGGGGAACGAGACTCTGTCAGAATCTTCCCTAGGTCAGATAAATGCAGCAACTACCTCCAAAGAACCTTAACAGCCTTTAGGCTCCTTTTGGAAAGAAACACTCCAAAAAAACGCAACAACTTGGAAATGTAGGTTACTGAGTTTTATATCTTTGATTGTCACGGCTTGCTTGGGAAAGTGAGAAGGGCATCTCTGCCCCTTGAAAAAAGGAACGACAACAAAACCTGTTTGTTGCCCGCTGCTCTGCCTCCTTACATAATTAAGTAGGCAGCTACTTAATTAAGTAAGGGCGACTAGTTAGCTTCTATTAAGTGGACGCAGGATAGCTCACGCTTCTCCAAGGAAGCTCGCACTAATGATTTGGTTCCTAGACTTTTTGGGAAACTAAACGCTTCTTCATCACTCCTCCTGCCCTTGGTGTTCCCGCACACGCGCGTACATACATTGGACAGTACGCTTCTGGATCGCTTTGGACGCCACTTTCGCTAAAAGAGCCTCATGCAACTGCGGCGGCTCGATGAGCCGCACCCGAAATTTGCTGACTAATCTCACCTGCAGAGCTCCAAGCTCACAATAAAACGGAAAATGAAACTTGTACACTTCTTCTGCCTTACGTTTAATGCATAATTCTGGGTGCATCAAATGTGTGGCGAATACTGCAGCTGGCTGACAAAAGAGGAGTGCTGGCGCTCCGTTGCAGGCCGAAAATCTTCGATAATCATGCAGACTCCTTCACGTCTTAAAGAATACTTGACGGATGCACCCAAGGAGATGTGTGCATGGTTTCCAAGCCTTCAAACTTTAAGCAGCAAAACGATGGCGAACCTAAATCTTCGTTGGATGGCAAAGAACAAACTCTACGACCACCTTGAAGAGCAAACTGTACCTTGAAAAAGCTACTAGGGGCTCCTGGCCATACTACTAGGAGCAAGGACGCTACTAGGGGGGGGCTCCTGGCATCGCTACTAGGAGCAAGAAGCTACTGGTTGTGCAAGACTTCTGAGGTTCCAGAGACTTGGCTAATGGCAAGCTCATCTTGGCCTGAAGTATCGTGCTCCACACCTCGTATTCTTGCAAAAATCCACAGCAGCAAAAGACTTATCTATCTTCATAAATAGTCAAGTCTTGCTCTTGAACCATGTTCTTTTGAAAAATCACAGTCGAGGTGCGGCTGTGCGGAAGTGCAAACTTTACGCTCCTTCAAAGCATCAGCCGGGGGGGCATGAGTCATGATACATTGAAAACGGCCTTGCAAACATTGTTGTGATCCAGATATCACGTATGCCTTTTCACTTGCGCTAAATGGGTCTCAAAGGCTGTCTTTTGGTATAATTCAAAAATAATACACTTGCACTGCACTCCTTGTGGACAAACCATAGTCAGACCATTTTTGGCAGGCCAACACATGTTCAAGAGCCCTTCAACATGCCAAGTCACTAAAGGCCCGCCTAAGAATTGGCAAAATCAGGGCTTCGTCACTGGGGCCATCATTTCTAACCTTGCAAGTGTGGATCTTCACATTTGCATCTCTGAATCTGACACCACAGTGCCTCTTCCCGGCGCTGAGCCGCAGCATTGTCGTCTGCTTCGCGCAATTCCTCACAGATCTGGTTCTATCAATTCGCCCTCAGAGTTTTGCGGTGGAATGGAATGACCTGTCATTCACAAACGGAAGTGCCAAGTGCCATCTGTATAAGAGCGGCTGAAACCCTCTTGAAGCCAATAACTGCAGTGTACTGTCTTCCTGTAGAGCTCCAAACCCTTCATAGGGCCATGAGAAAAGTACCACTTAAAGTACCACTGGACTGCGACAACTTGTAACATGTTTCTGGGATGTGGTTCAACGTGTTGCAAGATTTAGATATCGCTGTGTCCAGTTCTCCTGCTGCATGTACTTCTCGCCAACAGTAGTTTGCCAGCTTCAATTTCAGAGTGTAATTCTACTCAAATTAGCAGCCGCTTTCATCCGGGCAAAAGCAAAAAAGTTCAGCCCTTGCTAAGTCTACCGGATCTACCTGCCATTTTGAGCGTGGGCTGCGTTGTCAGCGCTTTGTTAGCACAATATGCTGAATCATACTATATATATATGATATATGTCTTTCCAGATGGCCGCGGCAAACACCTGCATATAATCTCATGACTCGTGTTTGTTTAACCCTAGGGCCCTAATCCAATGAAGTCAACAAATTGTCAATCTCAATAGAGGTTGAAACATGGGCCTCCTGCTGTTCCTGCCGCCTGTGTGCCAATGCTCGAGGGTACCTTCAAATACACTGCATGCAGATTTTTTGAGGAATCCTCCACCATCAAAGGGCACTGCTCCGCAATCATGCTACCTAGGCAGATACAAGAGAGGAACCAAGACCTGCTTAATCTCTTGTGTTTCAGACAGGAACGAATTAGCACATTGACAGCTTGTCCAGGAGGAACTGGTGCCCGGCATACAGAGCAAACATTCCTTCTGCAGCAAAATGGTTTGTTCAAGTCACCAAACCGATTCAACCTTGTGGAGAAACAGGTTCACAAAAACAAAATGATCAGCACAAACGTTCGCTCCTGTATCCAAGTGCCTGGGCAAGGCAGCCTTGACCTTGATGGCATAGTGACAGGCTTCAATGGTCCCATGGTTTCATTGCGATTCACGATATTGAAATTGGGACCGCACAAAATGTGTGGCCGCATGGCACGGACACCGGCTCGAGAAGTAGCTGCAATGAAAGGCGCAAGGGTTTTCCACAAATGAACTGCGTTTCTTGATGACAAATGTGCCTTCCAGCAAATCGCGCACTCCAAGTGGGGAGGGACCTCCTCAATGTGGGCAGCCTTTGAGCAAATCGATTTGGAGCAACAATACAAAACACGATAAAATCCCTTCTGATGCTGATCCCTTCTGATGGCTTGCACACACGTCCGAATATCTGGCCTCAGCCATCTTCTCACGGCATGATCAGGCGGTGTCTCCGGATGAGGCAAACACACAGCAAACCCAAGAACAGGACAGAACAAAACCAAGTGTAACAAACTCTTGTTCGTGAATCAATGTTTTTTGTCAAACCAAGTTGTATATGATGAATGGTTCCTCAACATTTGCACTTCACTCTTGGATCTGTTTCCGACATTCTCTTCTTCCATAGTGCAGCTGCGCTGCAGAAAAATGAATGCAAATGCAAATCCAGCGAAGGCAAGAACTTCCCGTGCACTTGTTCGATTTCCGATTGTGCTTGTTCTCACTGTTTATCCCATGATATGACAGCCAATTTTGTACCGTCTCCATTTGGGCCGGCGAAACGGTTTGGAAGGCTCGAAACCTGGGTTACCAGCAATTTTGCGAATGCGACGTGGGTTGAGACTTTTCCCGGTTGACCAAAACCCAGGGACACAGACAAAAAAGAAAGGATCGTCAAAACAAAACAAAATGAATCCAGCCCATGAAGGGTTTTCTCCTTCTTTCAGGACGCAGTGGAAGGCTCTGTAAGAACTCGAGCCCCCCTCATCCCCTCAATTGCTCCCGCAGACCACGTCCATTCGCGATCCTGTCTTGAAGCTTCTCCAAAATCTGCACTTGAGGGCTCACAAAGTCTGCGCCTGATGCGAAATCTGCACTGGAACCTGAAGTTCACAAAGCTGCCTCTGCCACAAAATCTGCACTTGAGGGCTTACAAAATGCGGCCCCTACCACGAAGTCTGCACTTGAGAGTTCACAAAGTGCTGCACTGGCCACGAAATCTGCACTTCAGTTCAGAAAATGCTGCCCCCTGCCACGAACTCTGATCCGACAAGGAGAAGCTCCAAAAAGTCTTTCATCGAAGCACCAACAAAGCAGAAGTGCGGTCCCGCGCCAGAAAGTCTCTCGGTCCGATCCCAAGCGCTGCAGCTGCAACCTGAAGCAGGCTCTGGAACGCTGCACATGGAGTTACAGAGGAAAAATGCAACCCCAAGGATTCTTTTTGCACGGATGGAGCCGCCATGTGTGCAGAGAATGCACAGGTCAGCTTGTGCTACTTGTGAGTGAGTCTCCAGCCAGGAAGGGGCAAAAAATAAAGGACCGGATAACCCCACATATGCATCTTTACGAGTCTTAAGTTGCTAAAGCACAATAGCTCAGAGTCTCAATAGCTTCTACAACACGGCCTTGTCAGGAAGTGATATCAGCTTCCGACAAAGTTCTTGGTGGGAGAGAAGGTGTAAGAGAGTGATGTGCATGACAGATGTACGAGGTATTGTGCACACAGGTGTGCGCAGCCACAACTTGCCAATAACACCAGCGGTCGTCGCACGTCCGCAATGTGGGGCATAATGTACTAAAGTTGTACTACCAAGCCAGTTCTCATCTTCCCACTCCCCAGCTACTCCCCGTATTCAAGTTGTACTACCAAGTCGCCAGTTCTCATCTTCCAGCTCCCCAGCTACTCCGCGTACTAAAGTTGTACTACAACGTCGCCAGTTCTCAGCTTCCAGCTCCCCAGCTATTCCACGTACTACAGTTGTACTACCACGACAACAGCCGACAACGCAACCACCAGACCCTCTAACGGAGCCAGATCTATTGCAATTCCCAATAAGACAGTGCCGCAGCCGACCACAGCCGACCACAGCTGACCACAGCCGACAACGCAACCCCCAGACCCTCTAACGGAGCCAGATCTATTGCGATTCCCAAGAAGACAGCGCCGCAGCCGACCACAGCCGACAACAGCCGACAACGTAACCACCAGACCCTCTAACGGAGCGAGATCTATTGCAATTCCCAATAAGACAGCGCCGCAGCCGACCACAGCCGACCACAGCCGACAACGCAACCACCAGACCCTCTAACGGAGCCAGATCTATTGCAATTCCCAATAAGACAGCGCCGCAGCCGACCACAGCCGACCACAGCCGACCACAGCTGACAACAGCCGACAACGCAACCACCAGACCCTCTGACGGAG